TGGTTCCCAAACTGGGGGGCGTGTACACATTGCTGGGGAGGCGCAAGCAGTTTTTACGAAAGACAATTTTTATTGATTAAATTTTTTTTATTTTAAAACGTAGAGAAATAAAATTAGTAGACTGGTTCTCTTTATCCGTTTTCGGGTATCAATAATGGATAACCGATAATGACTATAAATAGTTTTATGCTACGTTATCTGTAAATTAATCGGAACGATAAAAGGATGTTAGGGAAAATGCTATTAGATTAGTTTAGACTCGATTTAGTTTCGTTTTGCAGTCGCATATTGCACGTAGTGTCGTAGTACGTAGTCGTCGCGAGTGTACATACGTAAAAATAATGGCTCCACAGAAAATAAGATTGTATAACGACGATTATATAAAGTTTGGTTTCACGTTCATTCAAAAGGATGGTATCCAAATGCCACAGTGTGTTATTTGTCACGTTGTGTTAAGTAACGATGCTCTCCGACAAAGTCGACTAGAACGACATTTAACCACAGCTCATCCGATGCTAAAAGAAAAACCTAAAGAGTTTTTTGTTGCTAAAAAAAATTCTTTAAATAAAATGAAACTTGACAGAACCGGAGAATTTCAACAGAATAATGAAAAAATTATTGAAGCTTCATATCACATCGCCTTTATGGTGGCTCAGCAAAAGAAACCACATACATTGGGTGAAACATTAATTAAGCCTAGCATACTTAAAACCGTTGAAATAGTACTTGGTGAAGAAAGTAAAAGGAAAGTTTCTCAAATATCTCTTTCAGACAATACAATCAAACGACGCATTGATGAATTAGCTTTGGACATACAAAATCAGTTGATTTATAAATTAAAAAATTCCGTATTATTTGCAATTCAGTGTGATGAATCAACTGATGTGGCCAATTGTTGTCAGTTATTAGTTTACTGCCGTTTTATAAATGAAAAGACTATTGCAGAAGAGCTTATGTTTTCCCAGGCCTTAAGTTCCACCTCAAAAGGCAGTGACGTTTTGTCTGCCATCGATATATTTTTTGATCAGAATGGCCTCTCTTGGAAAAATGTTGTAGGTGTACAGACGGTGTCCCTGCTATGCTAGGATCACGATCGGGTTTTGTGAAGCTTGCAAAAGATAAAAATCCATCAATAATTGGTTCTCGTTGTGTAATACACCACCAAGCCTTAGCTGCAAAAACACTGCCATTTGAAATTAAAAATGTACTAGAAGTATGTATAAAAATTGTTAATACCATCAAAAGTAGTGCTCTTAATTCACGTCTTTTTAAGATTCTTTATTCTGAGCTATCAGCCCAACATTCTGTTTTATTATTCCATACCGAGGTTCGTTGGTTATCCAAAGGAAATATGCTTGAGCGTTTGTACGAATTAAAGTCTGAAGTCGAAATAATGCTTTTACAATTAGGAAAAGACGATCTTCGGGAAAATTTTACTGATGAAAATTTCACATTCTACTTCGCATATCTAGCAGATTTTTTTGAGACTATTAATAACCTAAATCTCAAATTACAAGGAAAGAATATAAACGTCATAATCGCGAACGATTCTATCAACTCATTTCTAGAAAAGATACAACTGTGGAAACGCCGAGTAAACAAAGAGACTCCTAATTTTTCGTCTTTCCATCGACTGAACGAACTTCTCTCTGATGAAGAAGAACCATTTTGTCCTACTGGATTGAAAGATATAGTGATTAAACATCTCGACAGTTTGACTGATGAATTCACTCGATATTTTCCAAATTTTTCGAACAAAAGTTGGCAATATATGTTAACAAGTTCTCCATTCAGTACTAACGTAGACACATTGCCAGATATAATTCAAGAACAGGCAATCGAGCTGAAGAACGATTCACGGGCGAAAATTGAATTTAACAGTGGTAGAATAGCTCTTTGGAAGAATTTTGGGTAAAATACCAACCTATTTATCCTGAAATTTCAAATGAAGCTTTAAAAGTCCTTGTACAATTTTCATCTACATATTTGTGCGAATCTGGGTTCTCCAGCATGGCAGTTATAAAAAACAAACATAGAAATCGTTTAGATGTCGCATCTGACTTAAGGTGTTCATTATCAAATATTGAGCCGAACATAAAAAAACTGTCCAAGGAAAAGTGTTGTCAGCATTAACATTATTTATTAATTTCATTATGTATTTTTTTATTTACCATTATTATTATTATTATTAACATCAATAAAAAAGTAGTCATTCCGAATAATTTAAAGTTTATTTTTAAAGAACACAAAAAAATATGATCAATTTTTTTTCAATTTAAAAAGGGGGGGGGCGCGAGATTTTTGAAAATATATAAAGGGGGCGTAGAATAGAAGAGCTTGGGAACCACTGGTCTAAAGCATCAGACATGGTATTTAAATTACTAACAAATTCTATACTTGTTATCATTTTAAACAATCCACAGTATTTACTTCTTTCTTTAGAGTCTCTGGTAGAGTCCATTGACGCCAAGTTGAAATGTTCACACAAAGCAGAAAAATTATTTATGACTGCATTAACTGTCCGTTTGCTTAATGCTACCCATCGAACTGACAAAATTCTACCAATTTTCAAAATTTGTACTTCTAATGAACTAGCAGCTTTTTTTAACTCGTTTTGGTTTTTAGGTGACTAATGGAATATAGTATAAAGTTTATCCATAAATATTTTAAAATGGTTTATACCACAAACTTCGCTAATAACATCACTTACTACCAGTTCCAAACGGTGATTTGAACAATGCCAAATAATTAATTTAGGAAATTGAATTTTAAGTCGCGTGGCTACTCCCGAATCTTTTCCGATCATAACAGAAGCTCCGTCACATGCAAAAGCAATAAAACATTCATTTAAAAAAATTTGATCAAATCCGTGTCCACCCAAACAATCAAGTAATGATTTAGTAATAGTTTCAGCAGAGGTATTAGGGAGTTCAATTAAGTCAAGATTAAAAGTATAAGGTTCACCGGGAAAATCTTCAATAAATGCACGAACAACAACTACTAATGTTGTTAATTTACTAAGAGTAGTTGATTCGTCGATTAAAATAGATATATTTGTTTTAGTTAAAATTATATTTTGGCAAATAATTTTTTTCATCTCTGATGCAATGTGGAGTGCTATATCCGCACACGTTTTATCGGAATGTAAAATGTTTCCCATATTTATACCATTTAAAACTTGTAAATCTATTTCATTTGGTAAATCAACAAAAGGCCTTTGAGTTTTTACAATTTTATAAACAGTTCTTAAAACTTTTTCAGTAGTAGAGAACTTTGATTTCAATGCATTTTCGAAACTTTTTTTCTATTTGTTTTTCTTTTGATTGTTCATGTAATTCTACTGCTCTAAGATGAGCGTCAGATTTTTTGTGTTCAAATATTTTTTTTCTCAAACTAGACATTTGACTTTCTTTTGACTTTCCATTCGAAATTATAGAACAGTATTGCCAAGGTTTGGAAAAGCGAAGAGTTTTATTAACAACAGATAATCCTAAATTTGTAATATTTTTACAAATCAAACAACCTAATGCTTTATTTTTAACTACTAGCCACTCATTTACAGTCTTGAAATTTTCGTACTGACCTTTATTCCAACATTCGGGCAAATCACTAGTTTCGTGAAGTTCCATATTTTTATTTGATTCTTTATTAGATGATGTATGTTCACTTTCAACGCACAGTTTTTTATTTGTCGAATTATCACATTCATCATTGGACTTAGAACGTTTATTTACCCAATTTAGTATAGAAGAATTCATATTTTTCGCACGGAATAATATATGCTATAAACTAATGTAATTAATGATCAGCAAAATATAATACATGTATTACTGCAGCTTAAATGATACTAAAAGCTAATCAAAACATACGGGTATCAATATGATCACATGATTTGCTGCCACTCAGAAAAATCAAAACTTTTACGTTTGATAAAGAATATCCGGCTAACTTGCGGGAACGTATGTACAAAACTGCGGGCACGTGGGGATGTCAAACCGTCGTATGGTGCCGTTCCATAGTATTTCTTATCGTACGTTAAAAATACACATAGGTGCGTATCGTGTGAATATAGACAATAACTACACTATCGGCGGACAACGATTATCTAAAGATAAGCAATAAATTTACTAATGCGTTGCGGTCGTTTGTCGTTTATTAAATATTTTACAATGCACAATTCTGCAAAATGTTTAAATTTTACAGAAATATGGTAGGTACAGTAAAAATTTGTTTGAACCGGAACGATAAACGTATTTTTTTTATGAACCGGAACGCTAAAAAATTTTTTGTCGTGAACCGGAACTGCGTTCCGGTGCGTTCCGGTCCATTTCGAGCCCTGGTCCCCCCACCCCCTAAATGCATCTACAATATAAATAATTAAAAATATCTAATGATTAACACAGATATCTATAACAAATAATAAACAATACTAATAGGTATTTATTTGTATTAATTCTATCAACACAGCAACACGTCTAGCAAATTTAAAATCTAAAATGTAAATATATAGCCACATGATAAAATTAATTAATCAATTAACTTTCAATTTAAAATAATTCATGTATTTTACTGTTGCCTAAAAAAAGTAAATATTAAATTTATAGATTATAAATGTTACTCTTTTATTAGTATATTAATTTTTTTTTGTCAATATTAATTTTAATATTTGAAGTTTAATATTAGTCAAATAATTTATTTCATCCCGTCACATTATTTTTAGGACTAAGATTTGCTGAGAGTTAAATAATAATTATTTTTATCATAGGTATGTATATGTATTGCTTTAAAATGTATGACCAAAAAAAATTTAAGGAACTTTTAACTGTATTTATTAACTTTTTTTTTAGGTAGGTACTAGGTACTTAAGTAAAAAGGGCTAATAACTTTTTTTGGAAAATCAAGTTTTTTTTATCAATTTTATCAAATTACAAAAAAATAAAAATTGCCGGGACTGACGTTCATTGATAATCAGATTGTACATCAGTTTTTT